ATTCAGAAATGTTTTTCTAACTTCATAGATTTCAAGTTGTTCATTGCAAAACACATATCTTGATTGGAATTGTGCCATTAGGTGTGTGTGATGTTTTAGGAGGGGTATAGTGTCCTCCTTGGTCCTTCCAAGGTGATCTGTTTCTATTTGATAAGAAGGGGTATCGAAGCAGAGAAGGACTCTATGAAAACCGGAATGCAGGGAGGGCAGACACTGTATTCTCCATATACGTATATGTAACAATAAATATAATTCAGAGCCTCATCTTGTCTGAAGGTAATTTTTCAAGTTTCCTTTAAAAGAGGAACTTGAGCCAGGAGAAACTATTCTCCCAATTCAATAGTGTCCAAGATATCCATGTTCTCTGGATCATAGTCTCCATGGTCTCTTTTGTCTCTGGATCATAGTGGTTTACCCATGTTTCATCAATGGTGAGCCCAAGAAGTTATTACTAGATTGTTCAAAATGCTGTAAGAAGCAACTTGGAGGTGTCCACTAGGTTAAGTTTTGTGGTGGCATTCAAACACTTTTGGCACCCACTTGGGTGACATCTCCTGCATTCCCAGGATATAAATGTCTCCACAATTGTTTAAGCCGAGATTTACTGCTCTGGAAAAATTAGGTTCTAAACATGATCCACAACTTCAGGAGTTAATACTGTTGCAGGCCTCCCAGATCTTGCTGCATCTTTGGTCTCAAAAATCCCATACAGAAAGTTGGCACATCACGTCTGCACAGTTGATTATGATGGACAGTTGTTTGCACATGGATTTTCTTTGGAGTTTTCTGCAGAAAGTTCAACATGAAAAAATCCACTCTTTGGTCAAACAGTTTGGTCGATGATCTGGAAAAATAAAAAGGAAATTTAGAGCTACAATCCTGCACATTTGCACTTCACAATATAAAAGAACTCTCTTTCCAGCTACTATAAGTCACCGGTCACACCGCTGCGATTTATAATCATGTGATTTGTGGGCAATTCCAGCGTGATTTCAGGTGCAATTTCTGAACACTTTATTGCTACTTTTATGAAGATTTTCAACGATTTCTTGCAATTTGCAGTGCGATTTCCATTATATTCTATCTATGTGAAATTGCAACAAAACTGCAGAAAAAGTAATGCAAGAACTATTTTAGAAATCGCGTAGCAAATCGCACATGTTAAGACACCGACATTCATTAGATGCGATTTCAGGTGTGATTTCAATTCGCAAATCACACCTGAAATCACACCGGTATGACCAGGCCCTAACAGAATTATGCTGAGATTTCGGGAAGTGAATTGGATCAAGAACTTTTCAGTGCCCCCCAATATATGTATTTTTTTAGTTGGCTGACCTTTGAAATAATTTCCGGAACAAACAATCTCTTGCCTATTGATGGACACGTGCTGTGGCCATTCAACCAAAGTAGTAAAAAAAAAAATCAAATCTGAAAAGAATGGCCCACTGGCACAGATGCTTGCACTTGAGCAAATTCAAATTTTGCCAGGTGCCAACCATCAAATGTCAATTAGCTGTAGTGGATTTTTATTGATTACTTTGTACCAGTTGTATAAAAAGTTGCTAATTTCTCATTTTGAATGACATATTGCAATTGATGGTGGTGCAGAGAACTAAGCAACAGAAGCACATTTTCCCCTGCCTGTTCAATGATTTAATCACTATTTCTTGGTTTGTTGTATGGTTCATATGTTTGAATGATCATGGTTCTTCTATACATTCTTGATTATAAGGTTCCTGCACTTGGTTGATCATTCAAAAAAAATGTCCACCTTATGAGGGGCTCCTGATTCCACTGATGTCTGTCTAGGGCAGCAATGGGCAAACTACGGCCCGGCGGACCTTTTAATCCAGCCCGCGGAGCTAGGCTCCCGCTAGGCTCCTCTCACAGTCCGCCCTGAAGACCGGTGTAGCATGAAAATCTGTCTCCTATGAGGATCTGTCCCCCTCGACGTATCTGCGCATGTGCCGGAGTTCGCCGATCGGCTGCTAATGCCTGAAACTGGCACATGCGCAGATACGTCGAGGGGGACAGATCCTCATAGGAGACAGATTTTCATGCTACACCGGAACGGCGCAGGAATACGGCGAGAGGAACGCGCGGAGCAAAGGTAAGTGAATTGACACAGGGGGGACTTGGGGACTTAATATGGGGGATGAATTAATATGGGGAATGAATTACTATAGGGGGGATGAATTACTATATGGGGGATGAATTACTATAGGGGGGATGAATTACTATATGGGGGATGAATTAATATGGGGGATGAATTACTATATGGGGGATGAATTACTATATGGGGGATGAATTACTATATGGGGGATGAATTACTATGGGGGATGAATTACTATGGGGGATGAATTACTATGGGGGATGAATTACTATATGGGGGATGAATTACTATATGGGGGATGAATTACTATATGGGGGATGAATTACTATATGGGGGATGAATTACTATATGGGGGATTAATTACTATGGGGGATGAATTACTATATGGGGGATGAATTACTATTATATGGGGGATGAATTACTATATGGGGGATGAATTACTATGGGGGATGAATTACTATATGGGGGATGAATTACTATGGGGGATGAATTACTATATGGGGGATGAATTACTATGGGGGATGAATTACTATGGGGGATGAATTACTATGGGGGATGAATTACTATATGGGGGATGAATTACTATGGGGGATGAATTACTATGGGGGATGAATTACTATGGGGAATGAATTACTATGTGGGGAATGAATTACTATGTGGGGGATGAATTACTATGGGGGATGAATTACTATGTGGGGGATGGGGGATGAATTACTATATGGGGGATGAATTACTATATGGGGGATGAATTACTACTATATGGGGGATGGAATTACTATATGGGGGATGAATTACTATATGGGGGATGAATTACTATGGGGGATGAATGAATTACTATATGGGGGATGAATTACTATGGATTACTATATGGGGGATGAATTACTATGAATTATGGGGGATGAATTACTATATGGGGGATTAATTACTATGCTTACTATGGGGGAATATTACTATGCTTACTATGGATGACGCATACACATCATTCATCTACTCTTGGTCCGGCCCCCCGGTCCAATATATGAACCCATTGCGGCCCTCAAGTCAAAAAGTTTGCCCACCCCTGGTCTAGGGAGCAGATTATTTGGAATATTGTTTGGCCAGGACTTTTTCAATTTAATTTTTCAAGTTTCTTTTAAAAGAGGAACTTGAGCTAGGAGGTACTATCCTCCCAAATCAATAGTGTCCAAGATCTCCATGTTCTCTGGATCATAGTCTCCATGGTCTCTGTTGTCTCTGGATCATAGTGGTTTACCCATGTTTCATCAATGGTGATCCCAAGAAGTTATTACTAGTACGTTCAAAATGCTGTAAGAAGCAACTTGGAGGTGTCCACTAGGTTGAGTTTTGTGGTGGCATTCAAACACTTTGGCACCCACTTGGTTGACACCTCCTGCATTCCCAGGATATGAATGTCTCCACAATTGTTTAAGTTGTACTGATATGAAGAGAAACCTGCCAATAAAAAACATTGCAAGGTAGTTGGATCATGCCCAATTGCCCTGCCCATGGGCCCTCTATATCTTGCTTCCTGTTTGCCTAATCTGACCATAGAAATTATGGTGGTTCGTTGAGACCTCGCCCATTTTCATAGAAGCTCAGAATCCTTGGTGATCTCAAAATCGGGGCTTTCCCACCTAGAGAGGAAAGGTTGGAAGTAAGGATGAGCTAAGATTCTACGTTTGGGCCAAACCAGCAGAAATCTATCACGTCAGCAGGCCACTGTACCTATTAGCTGTGGCCATGAAATTCACCATCCCAGGGCTGCATGTAACAAAGGGTGCGGAGATGCTGGAGACATAATTTACCCAGCAAGGCCATTTTTGGCATTAGCATTGTTCACATATTGGCTGTATGGGCATATTAGGTCAATGATAGCACCAGCATCCTTGCCCCTTTGATACATGCTACAGCTGGAGAGGGAATTCCATGGCCACACTAATTGGGAATTTCCTGGCCACAGTGGCCTGTTGTCATGTGACCATTTCCCTCCGGTTCAGGCCGAAGTGAGTTCAGCCAGAATCTTAGCTCATCACCCGTTGGAAGGTATACCATGATATGCATTTTACAGTTTTGCCACTATAGCAAAGAACTGCAAATCTATAGTTGTATAGTGAATGTGATAAATGAAAAATAAAATGGACTGACTAACAAGGGTAAGATTTGAAAATCATGCCAAATAGAACACGAAAAAAGTCCTGAAAAAACAGTTACCTAATTTATTTGTACTACATGTCAAAGAAATATTTTACTTACATATTTGAAACCTTCATGAAAATTCATTAATTCTTGTACATATTAGTAATAAATATTTATGACCATTGGATCACGTTTTGCAACCAAAATGGGCCATTTTCTTTCCCAGTGTAAACAAAAGGCACTTGGAACAATCTGAAAGTCTTAAACGTCTGAAAGTTAAACTTTCACACACAATGCTTAAAGTGTTACTAAACCCACAACAGTCCAATCAGTCTGTATATGCAGTAAAGCATGCTTGTTATACTCACTGTGGAACCTGAGGGGTTAATCCTCTGCACTGTGTAAAAATGCTATTTGATCCGGTCTTCTCTGATCCTCCCCTTCCAGTGTCCCCCTCTTATCTCCTAATGAGACACATCGTCTGGAGTCACTCTGCACATGCTCAGTTTGTCGTTTATTGCTAGAGAGGTTTTTTATTTTCTTGGGAGAGTGCATGTGATCAGTATAGGGCCAATCGGCACTATCCAGACAGAGTTCAGGGGTTCTGCATCCTCCTGTTGCAGAAAGAAAACTCCTCCTACAAGCTTTAACCAGTGCTCAGCTGGACACTGATAGAAGTCACAAGACTGCTATATACTGCTGATGAGAAAAGGTATTTAGCAGTTTATATTTACTAAAACAATTGCATTTCCATGTTCTGTGTACTGTGGGAGACCAGCTATAGTGAATGCGGGGTCCAGGGAGAGACCAGGTATATAGTGAATGCAGGGTCCAGGGGAGACCGGTTATAGTGAATGCAGGGTCCGGGGTGAGCAGGATATAGTGCATGCAGGGTCTGGGGAGAGCGGATATAGTGAATGCAGGGTCCGAGGAGAGCGGATTTAGTGAATGCAGGGTCCGGGGAGAGCGGATTTAGTGAATGCAGGGTCCGGGGAGAGCGGATGTAGTGAATGCAGGGTCCGGGGAGAGCGGATATAGTGAATGCAGGGTCCGGGGAGAGCGGGGAGATGTAGTGAATGCAGGGTCCGGGGAGAGCGGATATAGTGAATGCAGGGTCCGGGGAGAGCGGATATAGTGATAGGGTGAATGCAGGGTCTGGGGAGAGCGGATATATAGTGAATGCAGGGTCTGGGGAGAGCGGATATAGTGAATGCAGGGTCTGGGGAGAGCGGATATAGTGAATGCAGGGTCCGGGGAGACCGGATATAGTGAATGCAGGGTCCGGGGTTTAGTAACACTTAAAAAAAAAAAAAAAAAAAAATGTACCTGAGTGATCTCTCTGCATGGTTCAAATGTGAACACCTCTAGGTGTTTGCACCTATCTTTAGTTCTCTTCACACCAAACATGGTGCTTAGTATATGTAAATACCAATTTCCACTTGATAAAGCGGAACAAAAATAACAAGAACACAGTGAATAGCCCAATAAAGGATAAAAAACACAAAACCTGCTTTTGCCGCAATGCTCACCGCCATGAGTCTGCTGCTTTTCATTTCACTTTGCAGTCACAGGCTAGGGAGATCGGAAAGTTTCATTAGAATGGTGAGATCTTCATTCTCATTTCCTCTGCAGTGTGAACCCAGAGGCGCTCATCTCTGAACACTACCTAAGCAGATGAAGGGTTTGACAGCTCTAAATGTGGCAGAGTGCAGGGGAGAGATTACGACCTAGTAGACCTCTGATGTCACCTGCACCTACATGGCGTACTTGTCAGCTGTCTTGTGATGGCAATAAAGTTAACATGTATATTTATGATTGGACAGCACATGTTGGGTATTACTGCACACACTGCAGTGAAAAATAACTTTTACTTTACTTTTTAACTCTCGTTTACACTTGCTCCGGCTTAAAACATATTGACCTCCCTAGCGGTGTGATTATGTCAGTATTTCTGTGCTGAAAGCGGTACATTTTTTTTTTTTTTGCATGGAAATATGTCGTTTTTTTATTGTAGGCCTGTAATTTTTAGGAATAACTCACTGAAATCTGTCCGAACAAGAGTCTAGTAAACATCCCGGGTATGATAAAACTTGAAACCCGAAATCATAAATTAAAACATAATAAATAATCATAAAAAATAATATAATAATGTAATTCAATAATATAATCAAACCAAAACACTGAAATTTGAACTATAGCACCAAGTTCGCACATCGCTGAGCCTAGTCGCAAAATCGTTTTCAGTGTCTGATGACGAATTTCCCCCACGAATCATTATCACTCAATTCTGGAAGTGGTTCTGATTTACTATCGCTGTTCTCTAGCCGGTCTAAAACCGCGTCTGACCTGAAAGGGACGCTTTTTGGACGCCATGGACGTTTCTCAGTTTCCAGGCAAAAAGAACAGTCAAAATGCAGGCAGGGCGCCGGACAAAGCACTCGGAACAAAATGTATGTGAAATATTTGAACCAGTAATGTGTTTTTAGTATATTAGTGAATGTCACTTTTTAAAATTTTTAAATTTCCCACCGGTTTCGTCCCCCGTACGTCTCGACGCTCGCAGGGACCGGAACCTGGAAGACGGATGCCGGCATCGGCCGGAGGAGATGGCCGGGGACGGCAGGGGACACGTCGCGGGAGCGCAGGATAAGGTAAGTGCTGCAGGGAATATAGTTAGGTCCTTATATATTTGGACACAGGCACAATTTTAGATTTTTTCAGGTATTTACCAAAACATATTCAAGCTATAGTTCTATAATGGATATGGGCTGAAAGTGCTCACTCTCAGGTTTAATTTGAGGGTATGTACATCCGAATTGGAGGAAGGGTTTAGGAATTATAGCTCTTAAAAATAGCCATCCCCCCTTTTTCAAGAGACCAAAAGTAATCGGACAATTAAATATAATCATAAATAAAATGTTGATTTGTAGTAATTTGTTGAGAATCCTTTACTGGCAATGACTGCCTGAAGTCTGGAACCCATGGACATTACCAAAGACTGGGTTTCCTCCTTTTTGATGCTTTGCCAGGCTCTAACTGCAGTTGTCTTCAGTTGTTCTTGGTTTGTGGGTCTTTCTGCCTTTAGTTTTGCCTTCAGCCAGTGAAATGCATGCTCAATGGTGTTGAGATCAGGTGATTGACTCAGCCATTGCAGAATATTCCACTTCTTTTCCTTCAACAGCTCCTAAGTTGCTTTTGCAGTGTGTTGGATTATTGTCCTTCTGTACTGTGAAGGACCGTCCAATCAACTTTGCTGCATTTGGCTGAATCTGGGATCACTATATACAGTTGCAAGAAAAGTATGTGAACTCCTTGGGATTACGTGGAGTTTTGCATGAATTGGGCATAAAATGTGCTCTGAACGTCATCTAAGTCACAACAATAGAAGAACACAGTCTGCTGAACATAATACTACACAAACATTAGATGTTGCCATGGTTTAATTGCACATAACATGTAAATATTCACAGTGCAGGGAGGAAAAAGTATGTGAGGCCCTAGCTTAATGACTTCTCCCAGAGCTAATTGGAGCCAGGAGTGAGCCAACCGTGACTCCAATCAGTGTGATGATATTGGATGTGTTGCTGACAGCTGTCCTGCCCTTGAAAAACACACACCTGTTTTGGGTTTACTGGTTTCAAGAAGTACTGTCTGATGTGAACCATGCCTCGCAGAAAAGAGCTCTCAGAAGACCTACGATCAAGAATTGTTGACTTGCATGAAGCTGGAAAGGGTTACAAAAGTATCTCCAAAAGCCTTGATGTTCATGTGTCCACGGTAAGACAGACTGTCTACAAATGGAGAAAGTTTAGCACTGTTGCTACTCTCCCTAGGCGTGGTCGTCCTGTAAAAATGACTGCAAGAGCACAGCGCAGAATGCTGCATGAGGTAAAGAAGAATCCCAGAGTGTCAGCTAAAGACCTACAGAAATCTCTGGCACATGCTAACATTTTTGTTGACACATCTACAATAAGGAAAACATTAAACAAGAATGGAGTACATGGGAGGACACCACGGAGGAAGCCATTGCTGTCCAAAAAGAATATTGCAGCACGTTTGAAGTTTGCAAAAGAGCACCTGGATGTTCCACAGCACTACTGGCAAAGTATACTGAGGACAGATGAAACCAAGATTGAGTTGTTTGGGAAGAACACACAACACTATGTGTGGAGAAAAAAAGGCACAGCACACCAACATCAAAACCTCATCCCCACTGTAAAACATGGCGGAGGGAGCATCATGGTTTGGGGCTGCTTTGCTGCCTCAGGGCCTGGACGGATTGTTGTCATTGATGGGAAAATGAATTTCAGAGTTTATCAAGACATTTTGCAGGAAAACGTACGACCATCTGTCCGCCAACTGAAGCTCCGCAGAGGATGGGTGATGCAACAGGACAATGACCCAAAGCATACAAGTAATTCAACAAACAATGGCTGCAACAGCACAGAATACGCCTTCTGGAGTGGCCCAGTCAGAGTCCTGACCTCAACCCGATTGAAATGCTGTGGCATGACCTTAAGAGAGCGATTCACACCAGACATCCGAAGAATATTGCTACACTGAAATAGTTTTGTGAAGAGGAGTGGTCCAAAATTACTCCAGATCGCTGTGCAGGTCTGATCTGCAACTACAGGAAACATTTGGTTGAGGTTATTTGCTGCCAAAGGAGGGTCAACCAGTTATTAATTCCAAAGGTTCACATACTTTTTACTTCCTGCACTGTGAATGTTTACATGTTATGTGCAATTAAACCATGGCAACATCTAATGTTTGTGTAGTATTATGTTCAGCAGACTGTGTTCTTCTATTGTTGTGACTTAGATGACGTTCAGAGCACATTTTATGCCCAATTCATGCAAAACTCCACGTAATCCCAAGGTGTTCACATACTTTTTCTTGCAACTGTATCTCTAAACACTGCAGAATTAATTCGGCTGCTTCTGTCTTCTGTCACATCATCAATAACCACCAATGACCCAGTGCCACTGGAAGCCATGCATGCCCATGCCATCACACTGGCTCCACCATGTTTTACAGATGACGTTGTGTGCTTTGGATTATGAACTGGTCCAAACCTTCTCCACACTTTTTCTTCCCGTCATTCTGGTACAGATTAATCTTAGTTTCATCCATCCAAAGAATGCTTTTCCAGAACTGGTCTGGCTTTTTTTAGATGTTTTTGGTAAAGTCTAATCTGGCTTTTCTATTCTTCAGGCTTATGAATGGTTTGCACCTTGTGGTGAACCCTCTGTATTTGCTCTCGTAAAGTCTTCTCTTGATTGTAGACTTTAACAATGATACGCCCAGCTCCTGGAGAGTGTCCTTCACTTGTCTGGATATTGTGAATGGGTTTTTCTTTACCATAGAGAGGATCCTGCGATCATCCATCACTGTTGTCTTCCGTGGACATCCATGCCTTTTTATGTTGCTGAGCTCACCAGTGCGTTCTTCTTTCCTCAGTATGTACCAAACTGTTGATTTTGCCACTCCTAATGTTGCTATTTCTCTGATGGGTGTTTTTTGTTTTTGAAGCCTTACAATGGCCTGTTTCACTTGCATGGACAGCTCCTTTGAACGCCTGATGTAGGTTCCCAGCAATAGATTCCAAATGCAAATACACACTTAGAATCAACTCCAGACCTTTTTTCCTGCTTAATTGCTGAAGAAATAATGGAGTAGCCCTAACCTGGCCATGAAACCGCTTTTGATTCAACTGTCCAATTAACTTTTGGTCCCTTGAAAAAGGGGGAGTGGCTTCTTTTAAGAGCTGGATTCCTAAACCCTTCCTGTAATTTGTATGTACATACCCTCAAATTAAACCTGAGAGTGTGCACTTTGAGCCCATATCCATTATATAACTATAGCTTGAACATGTTTTGGTGAATACTTGAAAAAAAAACTAAAATTGTGCCTGCGTCCAAATATATATGGTTCTAACTGTGTATAGTGCCTTGAAAAAGTATTCATACCCCTTGAAATTTTCCACATTTTGTCATGTTACCACCAAAAACGTAAATGCCCTTATTGGGATTTTATGTGATAGACCAAAACAAAGTGGCACATAATTGTGAAGTGGAAGGAAAATGATAAATGGTTTTCAACATATTTTACAAATATGTGAAA